CGTTCAAGCTCAGATTAACGGCTCTAAATCTTTCTGGGCCATGTTTCAGATGTGTATGCATGAGCAAGCTCCATTCCATCATATTGCTATCTCAGAGGAGCCTGGCTTGCTTTTAAATGCTAATGAACACAGAGTATCCCAAGATGCAATGTCCCAAGTTTCAACTAAAGCTCAGTATGATGTGAACTTTTATGTGATGCAAACTGAAACAATCACCAGGTGGAGTCAAGGGCTCTGCATTCCAGTTTGTGGATGCCAGAGATTTAATACAGACTAAAATCAAATCCCCATCTCAAATAGAGGAGTAGGTAATAAACTATTCAGAAAGGAAAAAGCAAAAAACAAGTTCTCTTCTGGAATTAGAAGGTCTCATCTTTTGCAGTTAAGTTTGTTTCTAAGAAGGGAAATATTTTTAAAGCTTAACCACTTCAATTCACTTTTTGATAATTTGCAAATGCCCAAAATATCACCAGAGAAATGATGAATATTTGCCCAGTACTGCATGGAAGAAAACAAAGCTAAGAGTAATAAAGCCACATATTCAGATCACACTTCTGTCATATGCCTTTTTTCCTCCAAGATACTGAACATATTGCTGCCTAGAGATGGGTATCAGTTAAAATGTCATATTAATCAGGGTTTCACAGATCACCCAAATCCCGTGGCAACATTCAGATGTTTCCAAGTGAATGACCTTGAAAGGGAAATGGTTTCAGGGTCATTCCAACCACACAACCAAGGAAAGAGCTGAGGGCTGGCAGAAACAAAAGAAAATAAGGAAAGAAATAAAGAAAAGAAAATATGAAAACTAAGTTCCTGGATTTTAAAATATTTACAAACAATAGTTTAATTACCAGAATCAGTGTGCAAATGATCAGACTTGCAACAAGTAGACACATCCTGAAACCACATCCTGAATAACCAGACATGGTGGCATAGCAATGACTTTAACACACTGAAATACCTCTACATTGTCCAAAATAAATAAATCAATTGCAGGCTTGCATAAGTGAAACATACTTCAACAGGTTTTCTAGCCCAATCCAGTCTTACAGCAGGTCCAGCTCTTCTTCAGCCACCCTTGACAGGCATGTGCATAACCTGGTTTGTGCAGGGTCCAAGAATGACACTTCACAGCTCATCAGACAACCTACTTGAATGTTTCTCTGCCCAAGGCATTAGGAATTTTTTTGTTAGTATCTAATTATAACCTCTGTGTTGTAAATTACACACATTCTTGTCCCATTTACTGAGGACAAGAGGAAAAAAACCCTTAAGATCTTTCCCCTACAGAAAATGTATTCAAAGAATCACACACCTCACTTTAGTCTTTCCATTGTTAACATAAAAACCTTCAAAGACCTGGCATTCTGACTTACAGTGATATTTGTCTCTCTCTTCTGGACTCTTCGCCCGTTTCTCTCTTGAACTGTGATGCTCAAAACTGCATGTAAAGAGCCAGCAAATGTACCTTGTTTTAGCAAAGCTCCATCTAACCAAGCACTATCTCCAACAGTCTTCAATAGCAAATAGTTAGGGAATAAGTTTAGGACTAGACAAATATGTAATACCTCACTGGAAAATACAACCTACTTAAACTCTAGTAGTTTACTGCTGAAGGATTTTCTTGACCAGAGAATACTTCCTATATTTTTTGCTTAACAATGATTTTTTAATCTAATTTGTCCTGTAATTCCCTCCAGGTTCCCCTATCATGAAAACCAAGTAGCATCAGAAGAACAATGAAAAATGTTTCCTCCTGCTCCACTGTGATATCCCTCTTACAGCGCAAAACGCCCTTGCCTAGGTAAATTTCCTCGCAGAGAAGCCCTTTCACAACTGGGGTCACCACTGCTTCCCCTGCCTTCACCTCTTCAGCTTAACATCTTTTTTGCTTTTTTTTGAGTTACGACTATGACCAGAACTGCACATGGCATTCCAGGAATGGCTGGAAACATTGTAAGTTTTGCTTTCCTCTGTTTTTCTAACACAACTTAGGATTCAGTTGTCCACTGACATTTCCACAGAACAATCATTATAACCCCAAGAGCTCATTCATGTGTCACGACAGACAGCTCAGAAAAAAACGTGTAAAATTATGATTCTCCCTTCAGATGCATTTTGTTAGATTTATATCCATGCAATTTTACCTGACATTTTACCACTTCACTACTCAGTACAAGGACCCTTAATAATCCTGTGCTGTTGTCCTTCGTGCGCTCTCAGGGATTTAGCCTCATCTCTCCACCTGGGCATCTTGCTATGCACCTCCTTTCCCAGATCAGTTACACACATGCTGAGCAGCATGATAAGGCTCCACCTGCAAACCCATTGCAGCCGCCTCCTCTCCTCTTCCTGCTCTGCTGTTTGCTCAAGGGTAAGAGGAAACACAGTCACGTGGGCAGTTTATTTTTGTTGAGAAGCTTTTCAGAGACTTTATTAAATGCCATTTGTAAATGCAATTAAACGACATCAATCCAACCTCCCTTGCCCACATGCTCACTGGTCCCTTCCAAGAGCTCCAACAGATTTTAGATTCATGATTCTTCTGCAAAAAACTGCTCTCTTCCTCAGTATATCACGTCCATCATGTGCCCTCAATTCTGTTCTTCAGAACAGTTTCTACTCAGTTGGCTGGCACAGCCATCAGGCCTACTCACAACAACAAACACAATTACTCTGTGGATTATCACAGTTTTTGTGAAGTACATGGTAGGGGGCACAAGAACTATAACAAACTGTACTGTCCCTCAGCTGAGCAATGCTTGCGAGAGCCAAGATAATTTCCAGATGTCTCAGTATCACAAGATACAAAGATAGGGGTAATGTCAACTTTAGCTATGTCTGTATCTTCTGTTTGACTAAAAAATATAATATAGAAGGAAAGACTTGATAAGCTTATTTTTGCAGGGAAAAGTCTGAAGGGGGCAAAACCATAAAACTGATGTAGGAGCCTGCATTCAGCAAGCATCCTGACTGTAGGTAACAAAAAGACAGACTACAGACAGAAACCATCACATAAGCAGCAACACTATTCAAAGGAAGGACTGATATAAAAAGTATTGATGGAGAATCATCTGACACCCCAGCATCACAAAAAATGCTGTCATGTAGTGTTACAAAACAATTCTGTTCCAGGGCACGTAGAAAGAGGAGTCACTAGTGATAAACCATCCTTTCAGCAACACACTTAAGATGCACTCCATTTGTTACCCACAGTCATAAACTAATGTGATGTTCACTGAATCTCAGGAGCAGAAGAACGTAACTAACCATCATTCAAATCCAATCAGTGCATCTATTTCAGAGTATAATGAAGAATTCATCAGCTAATCTATTTAGACGTCATTTCCAAATTTAAACATAAAAAAATTTCAGTGTGTTTATTATATAATATTTAACAGCATGCATATTGTTATATGTAAGAGGAGTCAGAGCATATCTTGCTTTGGAAATTATGCACTGGAAAATAATAGTCACGATCATTTTGCCATAAAAGCAACCAAATCTGATGACGCTAGAGACCTGCCTGGTCCAGTACCCCATCACTGACAGTGATCGACAGCAAGTGCTTAAAGAAGACTACAAGACAGAGGCAAACATGGAGATACTTCCTCAGAATATTTCCTCAGCCTGCAATGATTTGTACTCCCGCAGCTTCCTAAGTTTGTAATTCATAATGGTATATTTGATAGCTTGTGATGAATTTCATCTTCCAAGAATGTGTCCAATGGATTTCAAAATCCATGTACAGTACTTAGATCCACAGTGCCCTGTGGGAAGAAGTTCCGTATTCTGTGTGAAGCTGCAGCTTCTTGTGCCTATCCCTGTCAAACTGAGCCAAATTAGTTCCTTATACTTACAGCCAAAGAGCACAGTTAGCTCTCTACATATGTTTTCCACGCCAGACCCTTTTGAAATCTTGGGCAAATACCCCTTGATCTGAAAACGTGCCACTTTTCATTTTGTCAACTGATCTGCAATCCTGTCTACCAACACTTCAATCTTAAAACAAAACAAAAAAAGCCCAAAACAAAAAATACCTCACACAACCCCAAAACCAAACCAAACAAACAAAAAAAAGCCCAAGCAAAATGAAAACCCTCTCCTGAGTTAATACAGACACAAAGCAATGATACAGTGTTTTTGTTTCTGCTCTATCTGCCCCAACTACCACTTTCACTTTTCTCCATCCATAAGTTTCATAGATTCTCTGGTACCCTTCTTTCTTCTTGATGCATGAAAAAAAATTAATAGCGTTTATGGCTGCACCTTCATTGTATCTTCTCCTTGTACCAGCATGGTAATATTCAGATGAACCTTCTACACCTACATTAACAGCTCCTTTATTTATGTCCTACCACCCCCGCTGGGTGCTTCCCAGTGTCTCCCCATCCCTATGTCAGAGAACACCATGTATACTTCCTTCATATCACCTGCTTTCCTCTGCAGCCAGCCTCCCACAGCCAGTCTGTTCCTCTACCAAAACTTGTGCTTAGTCCCCTCTCTCACTTCACAGGTTTCAAATCATTCTTATTCCTTCCCCCATCAGATATTTCAAAGACTACTAACGCAGTGAAAGATGACAAGCTCTGGCCTCTCACACCCTCCTTTCCCTACAAATACCTATCTTCATTTTCCTCACTATAACCATTACTGATGCTTTCAAGCTGCTGCCTTTATCCCCTCTGGGGCTGCCATGATTTTTCCTCTTCTCTCCTCTGCAACACCTATCCTTTGATGCCTTCCCTTCCAAAAGAACACTTATTTTGTTTCAGCATGCTGCTTCTCTGGGACAGATGCCTACTTTGTTTCTGAAAGAGCACCTGGCATGCTGTGGGCATAAACAGACAAATAACTGTAGATCTGATATCAAGATTGCAGCAATGCTGACACACAGCAGACACAGGGAAGCTGTCTTATGACGAGGCATAGTGAGACCTGAATAATACAGGATCTTAAAAGTCACTAATGATCAAGAAGGCCACCCAAAGCCTTACCTTCTCACACCATGCAGCCTTTCGGCGAGTTACAAGCTTATGCAGTTGGTCACGGAGTGTCATTAGGTCTCTGGATAATCTGTCAATTTGCCCAGTCAGATTGTCAGCCCAGGGGCAGCACGAGGTCACCTTTGGCAGCTCGCTTCCCTCTACATGAGTGTCCTGGGACTCACACATATTTCCCTCTTCAGCCATATTATCTAACACAGTTTCCTAGAGGAAAAGCAATAAAAGTTACTCTTCATCAGAAGCAGAAGTGGTATGTCCCCCATCTTCCCAGTAATTCATAAGTAGAAATTCACCTCTGCCATCTCAATATACAATTGCTCCACAATTTCAGAGTTATTTTAAGAGATAACCTCCTCAGCTCACTTTAACATATTTCTAAGTTAGCAGAAAACTTATGCTGCTAATCTAGTTTATTTTAGAAAGTACTGAATACTGTGAGATACTTCATGCTTTAGTGTATTGAAGAGTAACACTCATGGGACAGAGATCATTACTGAAGAAGCTCTACATATGCTCCTTCCCCTCAAACTCTGAGGTTGGATGCATTCCTATGATGTTTTGGAATGACCAGGTACATGCTTACACTGTTCAGGACAGCCCCATCTGGTATGTGGCACAGCGAACTGTAACACCCATGAGATCACCTGTGCCCATGTAAAACTGCAAGTTGAAGAAGGCCAAGAAGTCCCTGCTCCAGGCTCTGTCAGCTCTGCTTTGACCATGAGCACCTAGCTGGTTCTAGAATTAATTTTGCAGCTGCCTTCAGAGATAGCAACTGTTATTTGAAATGCTAAAAAAAACCCCACCAAATAACTTCAGAGTCCTTGAAATGCATGCATCTGTATACACTGTGCACACAGATTATGCAGAAACACAGTTTTCAAGCCAGGGTAGCACAGCATAACTAAAGGACTCAGGCCTCTTCACTCAAAGAGTATTACATATTTATTTCCATATCGTTATCAAGAAGACATTAAATAGGAGAGGTCATAATCTCTTTTAAGGACATAATTTACATTCAAAATGATCTTTAGAAATTGGAGGAGTGATGTGAAAACAGTGAGGAGAAATTCAGCAGTTGAGCAGCATAATCTACACACAGGCAAGGAAAAACCAAATGCACAATTATTGGCTCAGCAGCCACACCACTGGAAGAGACATCAGAAAACCAGAAGTCACCAATGCTGCACTGTTAAAGTCAAGCACTATTTTAGAAAGTATAAACACAAGTCTCCATGATAGAACAGCTCTGACTATAACACTGATATATGGGGTTAGGCACCTGAAGTTAAACACAGACAAATGGGAGGGAAAGCCCCATATGAGAACAGCAACACCCATCAGAAGTTTGATTGAATGGCCCACAAGGAGACATTGAGAGAACCAATTTTGTTAGCCTAGAAACAGGAACTGGGAACACAGCGACATGCTAACAGACTTCACTTATATAAAAGATTGCTATAAAGAGGATGGGGATATTTTTATTCCCCTCACCTCCTCTTTCTCTCTCTTCTCTGCAGGTAGGTTAAAAACTCTGGCTTCATGCACACCAAGAGATTTTTTGGCTCATACAAGAAAAAAAAAATTTAGATAACTAAGAATTGCAAAAGATATCCTACAAAACCTCCCTTCTTAGTGAGCAACAGAACTGCAAACTGCCACAAAGGAGCACTGACCTCAGGAGCTCATGTTGACCAAAGGCCCAGCTCATGACAACACATATTTTGGACACCCACAGGCTAACAAACTGCATGGAATAAAATAAGGCTTTTGTTGTCGTTATGCGTTTTGTTGTTTGTTTGGTGTTGGCTTTTTGTTGCCATCGTTGTCAATTTGAAATTCACTGAATGACGGAATTTTAAAGAAACATTACTGCAGTCACTACATTTGCTATAGTTATGTCTTACGCTCCTGCCTACAACCATCAGAAAGACCTGGCAGTAGCCATACGAGCACCATCCCAGCTATCAGAGCAGCAATGTAAATCATGGGTTAACTGGAAAGAGAAAACTACTGTATCGTCAAAGCACATCTCATTCCCTCATATCCTACAGCATCTAGGAATAACCACCATCATCAGCAAAACAAAAGAAGAGAATTCAGCCTATAGAATTATTGAGAAAGAAGTGCTGGTTAGGTTTTTTGCAAGTATTTGTTTAGGACTTAACTCCAGGAAGCACACTAACATTCACAATACCCCCCACACTGTTCAACATGTCAGAGACAAACATTTTGGTGGATACACTGAAATGCCATTACATTTGCTGTTACATTTTGCCTATTTGGAGTCAGGCTTATGCTAGCATTGATGCTTTCCAAATAACCATAAATGATAGCCATGTAAAGCAAAAAGCATGACAAAACTAATGCCAATTTGAATGGCTTTGCATTGGAATTACCCTTCAAGACAGGTGATGTAATTTTATGTTCTTCTTTGACTTGCTTTTAGTGAGGAACAAGGCATATGGGCAATTAACAGTCAGCTCACTGATTCTCAAAATTTTGTAAACTCATACGGCTAATGTAGTGCTCTGAAGAATTATTTTCAGCAGCTGTGAATGGGCAAAAGTCATAGAGAAAAGTGAGATGGATGGTACCGTTTACACTCACTTGAGAAATCTTCAGATGCACAAAGAAAGGCTTATTGATTTTCTTGTGATCATTCAACACAGTTCAAGGGGAAATCGACAATGTCAACACCATTTGCCTAGGAAAAATGAAGCTGTTTCCAATATCAGCTGCTTGCAAATTTAGTTGTTCTCAAGTCTGCAATAAAGCTTAGAGGCCCTCTTCTGAAAAGTCATTTACTTTTAAGAAAACACACGATTGCTGCGTTTAAAAAACATTAAAAGAGATGAAGATCAGACATTTTCATTTGTGTTAACTATATGAAATTCTGCCACTTTGTCCTGCAATTACTCAGCTTAGCTGAGTCTTATTGAAGAAAACAGAAGAATGAAGGCGAACTAAGGAAACATGCCTTACTTTACAAAAGCCTTTTTCCTTTTTTTTTTTTCATGTGCTGTTGAACAGCTGGTTTGCAGCATTTATTTCTGTGAAAAGGGGCCTTTGGAAGTGGTCAACTACGCTAGAATCAAGAAAGCTGCACCCATCAAAATCAGTATGATTCATTACCATCCACTGCCAATAAACTGGTTCCAGTTGCTTCCACTCCAGAAAGGCTTCTAGCTGCATGGTTTCAGACTCCAGAAGCTGTAATAGCTAGAGAAAAGGAGACAAAGGAAAGAAAATCAGGTAACATGGATCACTTGTGAACTAAACAAGATGTGCATTTGGTCTGAAGAACAAGAAGTGCCAGTGGTATACAGGAAACATCATGTTCCTTCACATAAACACTGTAAAACCAGCTGCAGAAAAATGATGTGAAACACTCTTCCCAGCATCTCTGATTTGTTACCTCAAATGTACAAACACCACCAGCTTTTATATACATAAATGTGAGTTTCCATATTGTTTTAAGGGATCAAAGAGCCATAATTCTGACATATTAAGGCCTAGATGCACGGCCATCTTCAAATCTACATTTCCTTTCTACCAAAATAAGCTATGTTTCTCCAAGATAATTTTTTCATCTATCCATTCACTCACATATATCAAGGCTGTACAGTCTGAACACCTTCTCTTCCAGCCCATGTACAGCCTTCTCTCAGCTAAAACTTATATAGTTGGCTTTGCTCCCTTACCTATGGAAATCTCAGACCTCCAGTATCTCCTGTCCTCTCTGCCTTCCCCCAAAACACTTTCAGCCTTATTCAGATCACTCAAACTGAGATGATCTCCAATGCTCTGAAATAGCATGAAAGAGCTCCCTTTAAAAATGTTATATATTTTATAAATTGTCTGATCTGCTGCATGAGAAATCTCTCCCTTTACCTAAGAGCATATAAAGGAGAGAGGTTATGTTCTAGGTGTACAAATCATATTTTTTTCATAAACATATACGTAACATGCCTGTATGCACACGTGTATGGGGAAAGAGACACCCCAAGACTAAATATTTCCATATAAGCAAAACAAAAGTTCTTGGGAAAAATGACATATGAACAAATTAGATATAAATCAAGAGCTTACCAACTTTAACAATTTCAGTACTGGACATATATTTGAAATGAAGAATTTTAACACCAGTCTGACACCAAAGACAACTTTTTAAGATAACAAATAACAGTATATAGTCTCAAGGAGAATGGTAAGGACCAGATCAATACCAGTTAAACCCACCTTATATAGACAACTATCTTCTGCTAGCTTTGTTGGGTCTAGTTCTTACTACATAATATGGAATTCAAGTAACTGCAGAACATGAGTTGACTTTGCAATTTTATTCTGCAGATATAACTTTAAGATAAAGAAATCCAAGAAGGGAAAGCACTTTGCAAGACTAACTGCTGGAAATTATGAGCAGTTTGCTCTAAAACACTGCTGGAACCAAAATACAATTATTACACATTTGTTCACAGAACTAACACTTGGCATTATGCTTAATGACTCTGCTAGTTTCAAACTCAGCTGGTATATGAAAAGTGGAAGAAAGGGTTTCTGTCTCCTTTCTTTTACATAGGTATATCTACAGCACAAATGGCTTACATTATGGGATCTGATCCTGGCAATAAAACCCAGCCAAAAGGTTGATTAAATATTCAGGCAACAGCTAAGTTACTTGATTTTAAAGTAGCTTTGTAATGTAGTCATGAGCTCTGTGTGACTGCAGTATGAACATGTCTTGTGACATCTGAAAAGGGCTGAAGGCTGCAATGGGGAGCTTTTACATTTTAAGCCTTCAAAAACAAACAAAAAAAAATCTTAGTAAAAGCGTAGTCATCACCTTTAGTTTTAGTCTCACTAGAAAAGCTCCTGAATATTAAAAAAGCCATGTCACTTGCTTTCATACCCCAACTGAAAGGAGATGATTCTGAAACTTCACCAAACCTGTAAATGATCTGTTGGCATTAACTAACCTTACAGCAATCACAGCTTTCTGAGCAGGCTCCTAACATCAAGCCTTTCAGGATATTTTGCAATTTTTCTTCGTTTTCTTTTCTTCTCCACCCCCCCCCCCCGCTGTTCCATCAATTACACAAAACTTGAACAGCTCATTTGAAAGGATTCATTTGACTCACCTACTTGTGGCATCTTCATCTTTCACTAAAGTATTACCACCCTCGGAAATATCAGGCCAGCAAGTGTGTGCTAAATTGCTTCAGCCATAAGTCACCAATGGGGTGACTATACCACTCATCCTAGGAGGACAGTTTTTAACCTAGTTGAAGGACTTAAAGCACTGTTCCTGGACACCAACATCCTCTGCCATCCTTTATATGGCCCTTGCAAGACTCTGATGTTATCACAGCAGGGAAAATAAAGCAGAACACAATAAAAACTATGTATTACAAATATCCTTGAGATACCTTAGCAAAAACATAAAACCAAATAAATATTCAAGGCAGGGACAGGGCAACAGATTGTATACCTGCATGCCATTCATTCAGTCACAACATCAGTCTCCACATAACCTAGGGTGACAGGCTCTCACTACCTACACTTGCAAAATGAGCATCTATCTGGATCAGTGAGTTTGAGGTTAACAGTGTACATTTTCTTAGGTCACTCGCTGCAGTCACAGCAGAGCCGGTATTTCAGCTGTATTTGCAATAGTGGAAACTAAAGCCCAAATTGTACCTCTGCGTTTTCCCCAAATACTGCGCCTTTTCTCATTCATTTAACATGAACAACAGCTCACCCAGAGATGCCTTTATATGTGATAAGTAGTTCCACTTCTGCTGCTACATAAACATCTAAAAATGTAAGACAAATTTGCACACTGCAACTAAAGCTGCCTGCTCATTTTGAGTGACCTAAGGACCCAGATATTGTCACGCCTCCTAATGAAATTTAATGACTAATATCTGCAGAAAAGCATTAATTTTGTCTTATGAGCAAAGTGAAGCAGGAAGTCAAAAATGTGCCTCACGTAGATATCTAAGTCATGCTTATGGATAACGCATGAAAATCGTTTTTCCCTCCTTCATTCTTCTGGAGGAAGTTATTGCTCTAAAATACTTACACTGAGATAAAAAGTAATGACAAATTCAAATTGTTAATCTCTGTGGAGAAGTAATTCCATAATGAACGCTGAGAGCAAACATTTTGCAGTAACAGCTTCTCTAAACCATTGTAAAGAAATCATCACTGGTGCAAACAATTTGCAAGCAACAGCCTTGCTATAGAGGCTAAACTGTGTTTAACGGAGCTGTCTCAGAGCAGGCTGCCACGAAACCTCAGAGTGATGCAGAAGAATGCGAACTCTAAAGAACAAACCTTGCTTCCTCTGACATGTGGCTGTGATCTCCAAAGCCAAACATCAAGCATTCAACACAGCTCATGGACTCAGGAAACTTTGAGAACTTCATCTACAAAAGTCCTAGGTGACCACATCTTCTAAATGGTTTTGGATACTCAACGGAAGGCCAAAGTTGAGGCTTCTGTGGTACCCACAAATCTAACGCACACCAAAATCATTATTTGAACATATTTTTAATTACTTTTTATGTTGAGCCAGCAATTTTTTTCATATTATTTACTAGCATACTACTAAATTCATTAACGCCTGTAGAGTGTTACAGAAATCAATATTTAATAATTTGCAGCATAATGCATCCTTTTCATAAGCTCAGTTCCAGAGAGCTCCCTACAATGCGTATTTAATCTCTGATGTCCCCAGATCATAATTCAAGTACCATATCACTGGCAAAAATATTTTTAATCAAAAATTGCTCTGCCTAAATATTCAGAAAATCACCCTACTGTTAGACAAAAAACAGTCTTTCAGCAATAAATTATGTTTCTTGGCTCAGAGACAAAATACTGCTGATTCATCACCTATTCATGTATGACTGTAGATAGAAAACTTGCACTGGAGTCCAGATCACTGCAAAACTCACTCACAAGGCCTAAGACAGGCTTAGACAGGGGTGGCTTAGTGTGAAATCTTATATGGGGAAAGTATTAAGACTATTTCATACTTTTATTTGTTTGGTAGGAAAATACTTTATCCAACTGAAATTTTGGTAATCCAGTCTGGATACAAGTTCTGAATACATAACAACCAAAAAAATGCAAAGAAAGGAGTAAACACTCATGAAAAAGTTACACAGTTTACATTATCAGAAGTAAATCATAACTGGGATTAAGGCTTTAGAGCCCTAACCAAGCACCAGATGAAATAAAATAATTACATCAGAGCTGCTATCAATACACAGCTCCCTTACAAAAAAAAAAAAACACCAGCACTTCTTGACAAATGAGAGCCTCTTGGCAGGCTGGCTCTTAGGTGGGTGACATTTTGTTTCAAATGGCACATACTGCCCAAATTGCACATTAGCAGAGATAAGTTTTGAAACCTCATCACAAAAAAAGCAGAGAAAATCTTGGTATCATAAACATCTCAGGCTGGGACAAAAAAGTAACACTGTAGGTGGACACGCTCAGTGCTCCAAGATTCAGTTCCACTTTGCGATTTATTCAGAAGCAAAGCTAGCTTAAGACATTCCCATATACCTCTTGAAGCCTGAAGCAAAAATAAATAGGCCTGAAAACTAGAAAGTCACACTGGAGTAGTGTGAAGTACAAGGAGCTGAAGAGCAAAACCCAATAGTCCAATAAGCAGCCTCTAGCCACAAGGCAAATAAAGAACTGAAGTAATTTCTCTCCCTGTGAAATATCATTGAGGGTTGAGACAAAGCAGGAGAAACATTCTGTCACCCAACCATCACAAGGCTCCTTGATTACAGGCTCAGATCAGAAATTCAGAGATCAGAAAGGCTCCTTAATTACAAAAGTGCATGAGAACTTCCCCCATGAGCTATGGACCCCATAGGGACTTTCACTGAAACACTAGCAGGGATGAGGGAAGGTCCTCTGTAGCTCTAAAAGCAGGTATTTCTGTGTTTAGTGAGCATCATCTTTTCTGGAATTGTAATGCTTTGGGGTTTGGGGGGTTTGGGGTTTGGTTTGGTTTGGTTTGGTTTTGTTGGTGGGGTTTTTTGTGCTACAAACTGTAAGGGAAAACAGGATTTGGATCTTTTGCTGAAGACAAAATACATAAAATATAAACCACATCAGCTTTGGGTGAAGGAGTGTAATTCCAAATGCTTGGATGTGTACAAAACCCCCAAACAACTAAAACAAAATCTGTAACTTTT